TGGAAGAAACCTGAAAACCAGAATCGATGCAGAGGAGCTACAAGGTAAATAAGCTTCCTTCATGTGCTAACTGAAGTGTACATTTGAGTCTACATTTTTAGCACAAGTCAGATCTCATCAAATGAGACCGAATCACATCATAATACAAACTCCTGGGGTTTCCTAGGTCCTCTAATGAAATGGGTCGATTTTCCAGTCTCGGTTCTTTAGTTTCCTTTATAGGAAAGGTACTTTACCTATGCCCACGATTTCTTTTTGACATGGGCTGTGGCCTCAATTATTCATCTCAATAGAATTAATGAAACTTCAGGTTTTTAATTCCTCTCCATAATGACGCCCAGAGCGGCAGGTGAATAAGCTGTGCTTTCTCCTTCACAGCCAACGATTACCGCGAAGCATCTTATCAATTAAATATCAGATCCCTTCACTCCACTATGCGCAGAAGAGAAACAGATCACAGAAGAGCCGATGAGCCTCGAACAAGATTCTCAAATGGCCCAGGTTTCAGGATGATCCACAGGCCTCTCTCGGAGGCTGACTTTTGGTCTGTTTTTCTCTCTTTGCCTTTCTTGCTAACGGTCCCAAATATTTGCAGCCATTTTCCAGTAGGTGGTTTGGCTTTCCTCACTGGGCTCTAAGTTCTATAAGCTCTCGCCCAGCTCAGACCCTGAAGACATCCTGGAAAAGAGTTAGTCTCTGGACAGTAGCTCTTTTTTCTACCGGGAAAGGCGCGCTACCCCCTGTGCCTCAATTTCCCTCACTGGCATTGATGCCTACAGTCCCTTTCTCTGGCTGCGATTTTTCAGATCTAGAGTTGGGACCCTTTGACGTACCTTGTTGACTCGGAAAGGGCATTCTTTGGTTTCTGATTCAGGAAATTTCTTCATCCACTTTCCAACAAAGTAGGCAGCGTTAACAACAAGGATTTTGGTCTGGTCACTTACACTGTTGTCGGAGAGAATGTTCTCAAAGTGGCCTGCAAACAGTTTTAGGAAACCACAAGTTGCACAGGGTTATTCTTCCAAGTCACATGTGCTGTTCACGTGCCTGTCTGCTCCCTGAGGATTGAGCACCTGCTACAGCCACACCATCTAGGGTTTTGGTAGCCCAGACCCTCTCCTTTCTCTCCTCTGTCTCGCCACAACCGACTTACCAAAGACCCCTGGGGAGGAGGATGAGAGGGGAGGTGGAGGGGAGAGGAGGGAAGGGAACACAAGCCACCAATTTGAATGTCCACCCTGTGCCAGGCCATGTGCTCCATATACTCATATGCATGGCATGATGTGTTTTCCCCCATGTTACAGACAAGGAAGCTGAGGCTTGATGCAAAGTCACTTGCCCAGGATGATTCACGAGCAAGAGTGGATGCAGAACGGAAGGCCTGTGCTCTGGAACGAACACGCCTGGCTGGCCCTGTGCTCGGCATTTTCACATGTATTATTAGCTCACTTCTCTCACAGTGATCCTATAAGGCAAAGCTCATCATCCCTGTTTTATAGTCAAGGAAACTGAGGCTCAGGGAGGCCAAGTAGCTTTCTAGTGCATGTGGCTGGAAAGCAGGTCTGACACCAGGACAGCGCTGTCCTC